TGAAAAAATCTTTTGTACAAGACCCAGAAAATGTTTTGATTGATTGGTCAGAAGAATACACAGATTACTGTAGTTGGAGAGGTGTTTCATGTGGTTTGAACTCGTTGGTTGATGACTCGGTGCATGTGGTGGGACTCAATCTTTCTTACTCGTCACTCACCGGGTCAGTTTCACCTGAACTCGGTCGTTTGAAAAACTTGATTTTTCTTGATCTTTCTTCCAATGGTCTCACGGGTCCTATTCCATTGAATCTGTCTAACCTCGTTTCACTGGAATCTCTGCTTCTGTTTTCTAATGAACTCAGTGGTTCTGTTCCCACTGAGTTTGGCTCGCTTACGAGTCTCCGAGTTTTGCGCATCGGTGACAATGCGTTAACCGGTATCATTCCGGCGTCTATCGGTAAATTGGTTAACTTGGTCGGTCTTGGTCTGGCTTCATGTGAGCTGACCGGGTCGATTCCACCAGAACTCGGGCAACTCAGTCTCTTGGAGAATCTTGTTCTGCAGGACAACGAGTTGATGGGTCCGATTCCGTCCGAGTTAGGAAACTGCTCAAGCCTCATAGCGTTTACTGCTGCTAACAACAAACTCAATGGCTCAATTCCGAGTGAACTGGGTCAACTCGAGAATCTACAAATTCTCAACCTTGGCAACAATAGTTTAACAGGGGAGATTCCGAGTCAACTCGGTGATATGAGTGAACTCGTTTACCTCAATCTCATGGGGAACCAACTTGAAGGTGCAATTCCATCGTCTCTAGCTCAACTGGGTAACCTTCAAAAACTTGACTTGTCTATGAACAAACTCAGTGGAGGGATTCCAGAGGAGTTCGGTGACATGGGTCAGTTGAGTTTCATGGTTCTGTCTGGTAACAACCTTAATAGTGTCATACCAAGAACACTATGTTCCAATGCAACAAATTTGGAGCATTTGATGCTATCAGAAAGTGGACTCTATGGCGAAATTCCAGCTGAATTGAGTCAGTGTCAGTCACTGAATCAACTTGACTTGTCGAACAATTCACTCAATGGTTCCATACCTCTTGAGATTTATGGGTTGGTGGAGTTAACTGATCTTTTGCTAAACAACAATAGCTTGGTTGGTTTCATCTCTCCATCCATAGGGAACTTGAGCAACTTGCAGACACTTGCATTGTATCACAACAATTTGAAGGGTGATCTTCCTAGAGAGATTGGAATGCTTGGGAAGTTGGAAATTTTATATCTTTATGATAATCAATTATCTGGGGCTATACCTATGGAGATCGGTAACTGTTCAAGCTTGCAAATGATTGATTTCTTTGGTAACAGATTCAACGAGGAAATTCCCATCACTATTGGAAAGCTGAAAGAGTTGAATTTCCTTCACCTCAGGCAAAATGAGCTTGGGGGTGAAATTCCTGCCAGTTTAGGTAACTGTCATAAACTGAAGATCATGAGTTTGGCTGACAATCGGCTCTCCGGTGCAATTCCTGGAACATTTGGATTCCTCAACTCATTGCAGCAGCTCATGCTCTACAACAATTCTCTTGAAGGTAACCTTTCTCACCAATTGATAAATGTAGCAAACTTGACTAGAGTGAATCTTTCAAAGAACAGACTGAATGGCAGTATAGCTGCGCTGTGCAGCTCTCAATCGTTTATTTCTTTCGATGTTACTGACAATGAGTTTGACGGTGAAATTCCTCCTCAATTGGGAAACTCACCTTCCCTAAAGAGGCTAAGTTTAAGTAACAACAAATTTTCTGGTGAGATTCCCAAGACCTTGGGAAAAATCCATGACCTGTCAGTGTTAGACCTTTCAGGAAATTCGCTCAACGGACCAATACCTACCGAGCTTTCTTTGTGTAATAAACTGGCTTACATTGATTTAAACAGTAATCTTCTTAATGGACAAATACCATCATGGTTTGGAAAATTGCCTCAGTTGGGAGAGCTTAAGCTCTCTTCCAATAACTTTTCTGGACCTCTTCCATTAGGCCTATTCAAATGTTCCAAATTACTAGTTCTCTCTCTAAATGATAACTCTATCAATGGAAGCCTCCCAGCTGATATAGGCTATCTTACATATCTCAATGTCCTCCGACTTCACCGTAACGACTTCTCAGGACCGATTCCTCGCGAGATAGGTAAGTTGAGCAAGCTTTATGAGCTTCAACTCTCTAGGAATAGCTTTAACGGTGAGATGCCAAGTGAGATTGGAAAACTTCAAAATCTACAAGTCATTTTAGACCTCGGTTACAATAATCTCTCAGGTGGCATACCGCTTTCTCTAGGGACTATGTCAAAATTAGAAACACTTGATCTTTCTCACAATCAACTTACCGGTGAAATCCCTCCACAAGTTGGTGAAATGAGCAGCTTGGAAAAGCTCGATCTCTCTTACAACAACCTTCAAGGGAAATTGGACAAGAAATTCTCCCGGTGGCCAAATGTGGTATTTAAAGGAAACTTAAATCTTTGTGGAAGCCCTCTTGACCGCTGCAACAGTGATGATACTTCTGGTAGTAAGCCGTCGGGCCTAAGTGAGTCATCAGTAGCGATAATATCTGTGGTTTCAACTTTAGCTGCAATTACACTATTGATACTTTCAGTAAGAATCTTCTGCAAAAACAAGCAAGATTTTTCAAGGGAAGACAGCAAAGTGACTTCTTCTGTCTACTCTTCCTCTTCATCACAAGCACAGAGACGGCCACTTTTCCAGCTAAGAGCTGCTGGAAAGATGGATTTCAGGTGGGAAGATATCATGGATGCAACAAACAATCTAAATGATGATTTCATGATTGGTTCAGGAGGTTCAGGGAAAATCTACAAAGCTGAATTGGCCACTGGAGAGACTGTTGCTGTCAAGAAGATTTCATCGAAAGATGGTTTTCTGCTAAACAAGAGCTTCTTAAGAGAAGTTAATACACTGGGAAGAATAAAGCATAGACATCTGGTGAAGCTAATAGGGTTCTGTAGCAATAGAAACAAAGGAGCGGGTTGGAATCTATTGATATATGAGTACATGGAGAATGGAAGTTTATGGGATTGGCTTCATGGAAAACCAGGCAACGTGAGCAAAGTAAGGAAGAGCCTTGATTGGGAGACGAGGTTCAAAATTGCTGTGGGATTAGCTCAAGGAGTGGAGTACCTGCATCACGATTGTACACCGAAGATCATTCACAGAGATATCAAATCAAGCAATATATTGCTGGATTCCAAAATGGAGGCACACTTGGGAGATTTTGGACTGGCAAAAGCACTTATTGAAAGTGATGACTCTAACACTGAGTTAAATTCTTGTTTTGCTGGGTCTTATGGCTACATGGCTCCAGGTATTGATCAAAATGCTGAATTGTATTGACTTTGATTTGAATTTATTTTAGTTTAACTTCGACTTATCAATAAATTTGTTTGTCAATGGTTTTTTTTTGTACAGAGTATGCGTTCTCGCTGCATTCAACAGAAAAAAATGATGTTTTCAGCATGGGAATAGTTCTCATGGAACTTGTTAGTGGTAAAATGCCAACAAGTGAATTTTTTGGAGCTGATATGGACATGGTGAGATGGATTGAGATGCATATTAACATGCATGGCTCTACATGTGAGAAACTGATAGACCCTGAACTGAAACCTCTTTTACCTAGTGAAGAGTTTGCTGCATTTCAAGTGCTTGAGATAGCCTTGCAGTGCACTAAAGCTACACCGCAGGAGAGACCGCCTTCAAGGAAAGCATGTGATCTTCTCCTCCATGCATTCAATAACAGAATGATGGACTTTGGGAAGAAGAATCTGGATAATTACAAGTAAACTTGTTTCCAAAGACTGAAATGAAACGCAATATTACCAAACTTGTGTCCATAAACTTTTTTTGCTAATTTGTTGATCTTTTTTAATATTTAAATTGTAAAGAAACAGTGGCATAGTTGCTGTTATGATGTACATGTTACAATCAATAACCAAATGTGTTCCATTAATTTTCATTTTTACTTGTGTCTTTCAAACATGAGACAATATTCAAAGGTGGGGCTTTCTTTAACTATAGTGTGAAATGTTTTAGAGAGATGGTGATATTAAAATTTGTATCTTTCTTTGAAAAAATTTATCATTTACAGTGACAACTTTTAACAATACTACTGTGTTGAACCAGCTCCGGGTTAACACTTTCACAAGACTTACCAGGTCATTACTATGAAACTTCTCAACTTGCAATGCCTTCTCAGTTCCACGGGCACGAGAAAAGACAATTGAGTAAATGAGAAGGAAAAAGTAGAAAAAAGAAACTTAACAAAAAGATGAAATGAAAATGAGTATTAACTATTAAGACGCCGTGCTATGAATATCAAGTAATTAAGAAGAGGACTGAAACTCTCTATCCATAGTTTTCAGACTGAAAAGTTTTCAAAACAATATAAGGAAAAATGTTGTTTCCCTAGAGATAGAAATGCTTTTATTTCAAAATACACAAAATAACTCATTTTACATGGAAGGGAAACCATTCATTTTAGCTTAGTAGAAACACAATATTCAGCTTGAAAATTTCCAATCAATTTGATCATAATTTACCATCGTGAGTGAATTTAACATGAATCACAGTGATAAGATTTACTTCTCTAATTAAGTTCTGATTAAAATTATCGGTGTATCAAGCAAAACCCCCCATCATAACACATTGCATCCTAATGAGACTATTTCTAGTCTGTTTCTTTCTCTAAAATTACCAAACTCATGACATGCGTTGCACACATTAGATAAGAGGTATTGATGTCACAGTTATCCCGATAATAAACCAAAGAATTTGTCCAAGCGATTCATAATGTTAATGAAACTATAAGCCCATAACATTATCTAACAGTTTAACTCCTGCTGAAGCTTGTTGACAAAATAAGCTGATAAGCAGGAAATAGCACAACATCTTTACAAACATGACAACATGAAACCATAAAACAAAGGTAACACGTACAACGCATTGTATTATTATTTTCACCAATTGCTGCAATGTAATCCTTGAAGACATGCACTAATCGTCATCTCCATCTGCAATAAAACATTATAAATAAATAAAAATGCAATAATGAAAATAAATTGCCAATCCAATAAATACCACATCCAAAGCATCCAGCTATAGGAGCAGCTGAAAGTCCAAACATATAGTGCAAAGGCATTAAGCTTGCTGACAGGAAGCATGCTTCAGAAATTACCATAAAATACTAAAATGACAGATTCAAATGACAGGAAATAAATTTTTTACTCAAATAGCTAAAAGAGAATAATTAACAAAATAAGAAGAAAATATGACCGCCAAATACACTTTAGCAGCTTTAAAAAGAACTCAATAAATAAGACATTGTCAACAAATGAAGATAATAGAGTTTCTTGCCATAGTTAGTCCTATGAAGCTTCAGACAAATCACATTAATATGTGGAAATAATCACCTAAATTTCACAGTGAATTGCATCAAATCCAAAGTCATAATATCTAGACAATAATACATTTGTGGTCTATTAAGATGTTTTTTTTTGTACCAGACAGGTCCTATAAGTTTTTTTGTCCTTCATAGGTCCTTAAAGTTTTACAACGGTTGCACTTTTGACCTTGTTTTGAGTTTCCGTTAAAACAAAAACCTATGTTGCTGCTGACATGTAAGATCCTCAACTTAACTTAGTAACAAAATTGTTAAATAAACAACCCAGAAAAGTCAGAAAAATGACCTTCAATCCTTCTCCATTAAACACCCCTCTTCATTTTCTACTCACAAGACAAGATTTAACATTACCCGCACAGAAAAACTAAATAAACCATGCAATTCATGTGTCTAATCAGACTACAAAAGACTGTTGATAATGCATTTACAACAAATACAAATTAATGTACTTGCTAGTTCCAAATCCATTAGCAACTAATTACATAGGTCATATTCACATGTGACTAATCACATCAAGGATGTGACTAATTCAAACAAACCCAAAAAACATCTACCAGGAAAGCTGAAACTTCTCTACAAATTCAACATAAAGCAAAAAATTCCAACCACAAACCCATTATGATGTAGATAAACAAAACTACCCAACAAAAAACTGAACTAAAACAATAATTAAAAGATGGCTGTGGGAAATAAATTAAGGTTCATAGCAAGAGAAAGAAGATGACTTTTGGGTTATTTTTAGTTTTTACTAAAATAAATAAAGAAAATAGTGTCTACTCGTTTTCCATATAAGCATAGTAACAAGCCCTGTCAGCATCATTTGATCCACATTAGATACATAACGGCCACATGTGTATTTTTGTAACAGATATTCTAAAAAATGGTAACTCTATGTGGGTAACGGAAATTATACAAAATGGGACCTCTCTGGGAAACGGGACTAAAAGGACCTATCTGATGCAAACAAATAACCTAAAGAAACAAAATACAACTTTGCCTCGTATCTACCTCAAGTTTTTTTTTACACAGTGCTAGTAATAAACAAACAAAACCATTATTACCGCATTATCCAAGCCACTAACTTAAAATATAAGAAACTTCAAAGAAAATCGCAATAATGAATTTCTATTGTTGTATATCGGGTATCCTCCTTGCGCAACTGCAGAGACTAATCTTTCGAGCCTTGTGGGACCTAAATGGGCAGAAAACCATCCCTAAGAGTTTTAGCATTGCTACATGCCTTTTAACTAAATGAAAAAATATATATTTTTGGTTTGTACACAATACCAATAAGTATATTAGAACCAATATATTCCATGTATACTGTACCACTTGGTGAAAGGAGTTGCAGAGCTGGTAACTATGACCATTCCATTAGCGACATTGCCTACCTTTACACATTGTAGAGGACAAGTTCTTCTTCTTACTAAAGTGTCAGCTAAATCCACCTAATTCATTGTTTTCATCTCCTTTCAACGCAATCCAAATTTCTAATGTTAGTAAGCAATAACATATCAACAAAAACCAAATCCAGTTTCCTCAAATCAAATCCCCAAATCGAGTTTCTAAATCATCCTAAACCCTCATTCAAATTACAAATCAAAACAATAAGAAAACAACACTACACAAAATATCATAACAATCGAACAAATCGAGAACCCAAAAGCAGAATAAAATAAAACCATAGGATTGAAAGACGAACCAATGTAGCGTCTTTCATTAGCGGCCTTAGCTTTCTCAAGCATCTTATCGAGATCTTGTTCAACCTGAGCCTCCCATTTCACAAGCTGGTTCACGAACACAACGCCCAAACCCATTCCCAATACGTGCTCCCACGGATCTACACACAATCGCAACAATCAAACAAGAGAAAGATAAATTGAATACGAAATTAGCGAGAAATTCGAGAAAATGATGGATTACGGCGCATGTAGGGGAGTTTGCGGAGAGCGTTGGAGTACATCTGCGTACCCAAACCCAATAGGGCTCCGATCGTCGTCGCGCTCAGTACTACCATTTTTTTTTTGCTCTATCGCAGACTCACTCCGTTCTAGACTATGATGTTCTCAACATCTATAAAACCTTTTTTTTTTCTCTAATATAAAAGTTGTTAAATCATTTAATATTTTTTAAATCCAAAACAAAGGATGACTTTATAATTTCAATTTTTTTTATTTGTTTATTTATTTATATGTATTCCACTAATTAATATTTTTATATTTAATTATTACTAAAATTTAACTTCTCTTCCACTAACTTTTTATATCCATATTATTTCATTTTTGTTATTTAAACAATTTTATGTTAGAGCAAAAGATTCAAGAAATATGATTTTGAGAAAATAAGAAAACGATGAAAAGAAGAGAGAGAGAGAGAGAATGTGAGTTAGTTAAGTGTAACTAACTTTTAACTGAATGTATTATTATTGTTATATTTTTTTATTACAACCATAATGGCCTTTTATATAGGCAAAATATTCCGACCCAAATATATGCTAAAAACCCAAATATAACTGAACAAGAATTATACAACTAACACACTCCCTAATTCATGTTCTTGAGACTTCCCATCCCGATGTCTTTCTTTAACTCTTTGAATCTCACTTTCTTCACATGTTTGGTGAATATATCAGCTAGTTGCACTTCTGTCTTGTAATGTTTTATTTCGAGCTTCCCTTTGTTGACTTGATCCCTCCGAAAATGATACCTTCTTTCAATGTGCTTACTTCTACCATGACACACTGGGTGATTCACAAGGTTTATAGTTGACTTGTTATCAACAAACAACTTCATCTTTGATTCCATTATTCTGAGTTCTTCAAGTAGCATTTCGATCCATGTTGCTTGGCATGCAGCATATGATGCAGCCACATATTATGCTTCGCATGATGACAAAGCCACAATACTTTTCTTCCTCGAACTCTAGGAGATTGGAGCTCCTTCGATCATGAAAATGTATCCTGCAATACTCTTCTTTTCGTCTTGATCTCCACTGAAGTCTGAGTCAGTGTATCCATGAACTTCGACATCTGAGTTGTTCTTCAATTTCTTTGGTAACAACACACCATGATCAATAGTTGCTTTTATGTATCTCAACACCCTCTTTACTATGATGAGATGATATTCTTGGGGCTTCTCCATAAATCTTCTCAACAATCCTACACTTTGGCATATATCTGGTCTAGTATTGCAAAGATACCTCAAGGATCCAATGATTTGTTTGTAAAGGGTCGAACTTACAAATTCATCATTTGATTCCTTTTTCAGCTTTGCTCTAGTCTCTAATGGAGTAACAATTGTCTTACAGTTGCTCATAATGAACCTCTTTAGTATATCTTGAGCATACTTCATTTGATGCAAGAAAACTCCTTCTTCAATGTCTTTAAATTCCATTCCCAGGAAATAGGAGAGATTCCCTAAATCAGACATTTCAAATTCCTGCATTAACTTCGACTTTACCTTCATTATCTCAACTTCGTTTGCTCCTGTAATGAGTAAGTCATCAACATAGAGACATAAAATGATTTGATTGACACTTTCGACATCATTTACATATACTTCATGTTCAGAGACACACTTTATGAAACCTGCTTTAATTAGGAAGCTATTTATACTTTTATTCCAAGCTCTAGGAGCTTGCTTCAAGCTATAGAGAGCCTTCCTTAATTTGTAAACTTTCGACTCCTGCCCTTTGACTCGAAACCTGGTGGTTGAGTAACGTAGACTTCTTCTTCCAATGAACCATTCAAAAATGCTAACTTTACATCAAATTGGTGCACTTTCCACCCTCTACATGCAGCTATCGAAACAATAACCCTGGTTGTTTCGATCCTCGCAACAGGTGCATATACTTCATCAAAGTCAATATCAGGTTTTTGTAGAAAACCTCTGGCCACCAGTCTTGTCTTATACTTTGCAATCTCATCATTTGGACTTCGTTTCACCTTTTAGATCCATTTCACATCAATTGATTTCTTGTTGGTTCTTTTGACAAGCTCCCAAGTCTTGTTCTTCTCAATGGCTCTAAGTTCTTCTTTCGTGGCTTCACACAAATTCGAATTGCTCAAGGCTTCACCCAAATCAATTGGTTCTGCTTCAGCCATCATCATGGCTTCTTCAATTAAGTCACCATATGCATCGATTTCTTGATCTGGAAACCTCTCATATCCAATCAGCCTAGTGGACTCAGTTTTTATTCTTGTGAATCTTCTTTCATTCTGCACAGGTGGTTCTTCATTTCAACCAGTCGAAGTATCACCTTTGTTTTGTTCATCTTCTTCGAACACACTTGTGATTGTGTATGATTCTTGTCGAACTGAACTTCGACTCCAATCCCACCCTTTTCTTTCGTCTACAAGAACATCTCTACTGATCACTAGTTTATATTTGATTGGTGAATACAACTTGTATGCACCAGTCGAATGATTACCTATGAGCATCATGACTTCACTTTGATCATCCAACTTCTTTCTCAATTGTTCGTGTACATGCCTGAAACATATTGATCCAAAAACTCTAAGATGATTTACATTTGGCTTCGACCCTGTCCAAGCCTCATGCAGTGTCTTTTCGACCATCTTTTTTGTTGGGCATCTATTTAGAATGTATATTGTTGTCGAAGCTGCTTCAGCCTAAAATCTCTTAGGCATATTCTTAGCTTTCAACATACATCTTGTCATGTTCAGTACACTTCTATTCTTTCTCTCAGTATGCCACTATGCTGAGGCGTATAGGATGCAATAACCTCATGCTTTATACCTTCCTCATTGCAAAATCTAGTAAATTCAGCAGGAGTATATTCATCACCACCATCAGTTCTTAACTTCTTCGATTTGCAGTCACTTTGTTTCTCAGCATGCAACTTGAACTTCTTGAACTGTGTGAATACCTCACTTTTTGTTTTGATAAGTTAAATCCACATATGTCTGGTGAATTCATCAATGAAAGTAAGGAAATACATGTTACCTCTGTTATACTTTACTTCAAAGGGTTCACACACATCTGAATGAACCAGCTCTAGTTTTTGCCTTGATCTTATAGGCAAGTCACGTTTGAACGCCTTCCTTGCCTGTTTAGCTTTGCAACATTCCTCACATATCTGCTTTGGTTCCTTCATATACGACAACCCAAGCACCATTCTTTTCTTATTGAGCATACATGAACTCTTGAAGTTTAGATGTCCATACATGTAATGCCATAGTCAGTTCTTGTCTTCTTTTGTAGTTGAAGCAAGAAATTTGTGATCTGATGTGTTGAGTTCAACCTTGAACGTTTTGTTCTCCGCCAATGGTTCTTTCATTATTAGCCTCCCATCAGCCCTATATACCTTCATATGATTATTCTCTAACTTCATATTGAAGCCTTTTGCAAGTAATTGACCTACACTTATCAAGGTACTTGTCATTGAAGGTACATATATAACTTTAGTGATAGTAGCCTTTCGACCATCCTTTTTGATAATCGAAATATCTTCTTTACCACCTGATTTGATATGCATGCCATCTGCAAACTTTATCACCTTTTCGACTGACTCATCTAACTTGGTAAACCGGTTTTTATTGCCAGTCATGTCGTTGCTACATCCTGAATCCAGATACCACATGTTATTTTTCTCAATAGTCGATTGAGTGTTCACCAACAACAACACATCATCAGAATCATTATCTCCAGCTCGTGCATATTGAGCTTCATCACTATCTTTCGACCTTGCAGCTTTCTTTCTTCGACAGTCTGTAGTATAGTGGCCAAAACCTTGACAATTATAACATTGCACCTCTTTCGTGTCAAATTTCTTCCCATAATACTTGTTGCCCACACCTTTCGATTCAGTATCCTTGCTTGACTTCTCATCACAAGCAATATTCTTTTGCTGCTTCGACTTCTCTTTTCCAGTTTTCTTGCTGAATCTCGATTGTAATGCTTGTTCAACTGCCTTCTCTCTTTTTGAGTTTCTCTGCTGCAGCCTCATTTCGTGAGCCTCCAATGAGGCTTGAAGTTCTTCCAACTTCATCTCAGATAGATTCTTGGCCTCTTCAATTGTCACAATAAAGTAATCGAAATCTGCAATTAAAAATCTCAATACCTTTTCTATCTTTTGCAGATCCGTACACGCTTCACCACATGCCTTCATCTGGTTTGTTAGCGTCACAATTCTTGAGAAATATGCAGAAATAGATTATCCTCTTTCATTTGAAGCATCTCGTACTGCTTTCTCAATGTGTGTAACTTCACCTTCTTCAGTTTCTCATCTCCACCATACAAGGATTTCAACTTTTCCCAAGCTCATTTTGTTGTTTCTTCTTCAATTATCTTCTCGAATATGTCACAATCCACACACTGGTGAATCAAGAACATTGTCTTGCCATCTTTCTTCCTCTGATCTTTGTGCGCAGTTTTCTGGACTTCCGTAGCATTTACTTCCAGTTCTGATATTCCATCATTCAAGATTTCTACGATATCTTGAAATCTGAAAAATAACCTTCATTTGCGCAACCCACCGTTGATAGTTTTCACTTTTGAGAATCGGTAGATTCGCTGGAAACTGTGCTGATGTTGTTGACTCGTTTGCCATTAGATTCTCTCTGAATCGCAAACAAGCTCTTTATACCAATTTGTTGGAACAAATAATTCAAGAAAGATGATTTTGAGAAAACAAGAAGAAGAGAAGAGAGAGAGAGAGAGAGAGAGAGAGAGAGAGAGAGAGAGAGAGAGAGAGAGAGAGAGAGAACGTGAATTAATTTAAGTGTAATTAACTTTTAACTGAATATATTATCATCATTATATTTTTTATTATAACTATAATGACCATTTATATAGACAAAGTGTTCAGACCCAAACACTTATTAAAAGCTCAAATATAATTTTCTCTATCTCATACTCTATTTATTAACAACAAATAAATCATTTTTACTTCCCCCACTATCTCTCAAATCTATACGTGAAACACATTTATTTTATTTTGAATTCATATTTTTATCTCTTTTATTTATTTTTCTTTTGTTTTTTATTTTCCTTTAAC